CTTATGTCACTTGAACATTTGTGAGTACTTAAACTTAACAATAAAGAGATACATAATCCTCCAGCTGATAACCAATACCTAGGTAGATAAGGGTAGGGGAACCTCAATCCCTGGTTCTGGACTTTGACTGATTTAGCAAAAGCAGAGATAAATAAAAACAACTATAGGGAACCTGCCCCTACAAGGGAATTCAGCATTAGTTGTCACCATATTGTTTTAGACTGTGCCTTTATCAAACCACTGGAGGAGAAACCACAAAGATTGCACTTATATACTTGAACTTCCCTTCTTTTCTTTGCCTTATATCTACTCACATCCTTGAAGTCATAAGTGAAGATTCATACTACATAACAGTGAGGCTCAGATCTGACAGTTCAATTATTGGCTTTTTCTGAAAGATCCACACAAATTTTGAGAGAATCACAAATATTGCAACTTAATTAAGGATTGAAGGTAAAGGAGGTAAGTCTCAGGAAAAATAACAGGATATTCTGTGGGAAAGATGATGTATTATCAAGTAGTGAGGAAAATAAACTTATTTGTGGTATTTAAAAATTTTAGAATATTTTTAGATTTAGAGGAAATTTTCTAAGATAGTACAGTGAATTTTCATATACTCCTTATTCAGTTGCAGTTTCTTCAAAGTATTCATCCTACATCATCCTACATCATTGTGGTGTACTTATCAAGATTAAGAAATCATCATTATTATTAAGACCACTTCTATGCAGAACTCACCAGATCAGGCAATATTCCACCTTAATTGATTTCCCTCTGGCTATCTCTCTAGGTACCTTCCAATTAAGTTTCCTGGAGTAATTAAGGAGCTTCTCCCAGCAGACTGCCATCAGCATCTACTACCACTCAGGAACTGGATCTCTGTGTCAGTGGATATTCAGGCAGCTTCCCTTTTGTACAGCCCCTTGATTGGTTCAATAGTCTTTAGTCTTCCCATGGTGCTTCCCCACAATGTCAGTGGTTGGGGCTGGGGTGGTCCTGATGGATTCACTTTTGTCTGCTCAGGGCCAAGCTGCTTTCCTGTTCTGTTACTATCTGGGTCAATGGGTACCACACAGAGCTTTCTTCCCTTGCCTGGGTCACAGAAGCTGAGGAGAATGCTGGTCGAGTGCACTTTCTGGCACAGGTCCACATAACCACACTCCCCTTTTTCATGGTGAGAGGGAAGGAGAGGGGGTTTCACCATTTTTTGGCCAATAATGATCTTTCTAGAAGTTCTTTATGGCCAGATTCTTAAGAGGTCTCACAGCAGGAGACTTACCCCTGGTTTAATTTTGCAGCTGTCTGGGTGTGGGAAGATGTTGTGTTGATTTAAGGAGGTGACTGGTCAACTGAGGGCTCTACAAGATGGCTGTGGACCCCCAATTTAGCTTTCTTTGTATGATTTTGTTTTAAGCTGTTTGCTCTGTTTTAAGGACACTGCTGTTTCTATCATGATTTTGCTTTCCTTTCCAAATGTTTTTGAGTGGGTGAGCTTAAAAGGTTATCTTCTCTCTCTTTCTCTCTGTTACCCTTCCCTCTTTCCTCCACTTGTTTGTTTCAAGTACAGGATTGGGGAGATCCGTGCTTATTTTTTACTCATATTATCAATTTTCAAGTTGCTCCATGTTTCAGACTTTGTAATATTGAGCCTTAGAGAATTTATTTTGTCATATACCGCTCAATTCTGTTTTCTTTCACTCTTTTCTCTGTTGTGAGGAGATGGGGAATTGCTGCTTAGCTCCTTTCCAAGATCCTCAACCCCATCTCTTAATATTTTGAAAATTATTAACCAAATTATTCTCATCACAGCATCCGAGTTTTCTGTATTTCTTCTGTAAGGGTACAACAAATCTGATTTTTATAAACTGCAGAGATGCGTTTTTTGTTTTACAGAGATCTAAAACATTCATCAGTAATCTGTTGTAACTTATTATTTTGGAATATAATTTGAATTTTTACATGTGTAAATACAGAGATATACTATCTTTTCAAAAATAGTGGTATAAAACCACAAAGATTTTAAATATTTTTAAGTTCTCATGTATTAACTTTTTTTTTCTGATAGTATGAGTTCAACATAACAAACTACATACTGAGTTATGGTCATTGGAATGTGTTCATCTATAGAAGGCTTTAATATTTACAAGTTTTCTTTCATAACACTAAGATGAAGAGGTATGAATCATATCAGATTCCCTCTAACTCTATTATATAACAAATCCAATATTGTGTCTTTATAAGAAGTATAAGTCAACTCATCACAAGTAGTACATACATAATTCTTGCAGGAATTTTTAGATACTTGCACCTTGTGGTGCACAATTCAATAATCTCTGCTTTCCTGTTTATACTTACCTTTATTGATTTTTGTGAGAGAAATATACAAAGACAAGTGCCTTTTAAATAGACAGTCATTTACTTATAACTATAACTATTCCTAAACTTAAGATTTAGATATTATTTTAAATTCTTGTTATAAGAGAGTTTAGGACTCAAGATGGAGTTAGCCTGAAGAAAAAGGCTACCTTTTGCTGCCATGTCTGAGGTAATTCTCTAATGTGTGCTTTCTCATGTACTTCTGAGCAGACATTCTCAGCAAGAAATCAGATATTCTCTCTCTCTCTCTCTCTCTCTCTCTCTCTCTCTCTCTCTCTCTCTCTCTCTCCCTCCCTCCCTCCCTCCCTTAGGGAATTACAAATAAGGAGCCTGAAATAATTTTTTTCAGGAGATCCACTATTCCTCTGAAAATTCGGAAGACATTACAATTTATTTTTGTGATATTCCAAAGCAGTTATTCTAAATTTTCAGGTTGAAATAATACTGATGACTGGGTTCCCTCCCAGAGATTATGATTTAATTGGATTGTGCATTGTCCTTGATAAAGTGATTTTTGAAAGCTCCCAGGTTGTAGTAACTGAAGTCAAAGTTGAGAACCATTGTCTAAATGAATAGAATTACTGGGAAAAAAATCTGTGTTATTCAATATTTTTGATTATCCACAGTTAATTCAGTACTAACCAAATGCTATGAGGGACTTAAAAATATCTATCCTTTTATCTGAGGAGATAAAGTGAGCATATAAAAAAATAGAGCAGCATATGGCATGGCATAAGTGATCATTTGTATAGTAGTAATTTGTATAACCCTAGTAATGGTTATACAAATTCAAGAAAAAGAATATACCTTTTTGGTTAAAATGTGTGTGTGTGTGTGTGTGTATGTTTGTGTGTGTACATGTAATATTAAAGATGAGTTGGAATTAACAAATGTATAAGCAACTTTGGGCCTTAATAAAATTAAATACTACTTGGATTTTACATTTCATTTCTCTTAAAAGATTTCTTCCAATAATTCCAATGTATTTTAATCTAACAAAAAAGGAAACATCATATCTCCAGGCTGAGTTAGACTATTAAATAACCATTTATCATTTATTCAATATAATCAATCAGTCTGTGACAAATTCCTTTTTGATAAAATATTCATATTAGTTATAAGTACTCTTTCTGTGCTAATTTGTAATGCTTTAGGACAAAGTTTTAATATCTGGACATTGAACCATTGCTGGCAATTAAAATGTGTGAAGGGCAATACATTACTGTGGTCCTGATTTCTGACAAATGAGAAATAATTTAATTATCCCCTTGTAAACTTTGACATGTGAAGAAACCATGTCTTTATCTATTATTGATAGTTACCATTATCATTAGTTATGAAACAAATGGTTACATAAATTAATTCCATACATTGTATTAATTTTAAACTTCTGGAACAATGCCTCTCTCTCTCTCTCTCTCTCTCTCTCTCTCTCTCTCTGTGTGTGTGTGTGTGTGTTTGTGTGTGTGTGTTTAATTAACATAGATTAAACAGATTAAATCTTCAATGTTGCAGAAAATATGCAGAAGGACGGTATACATCTTTTTTTTTAATGTGAGGAGGAAGCTTAGAGTATGAGAATCCTGTGAGGAATACCAAGATGAACAGCATAACTTGTAATGAAAAGATATTTTAACTTTGGCAAATAAACAAAGCAATACTTACACATGAAAGAAGTAGGTAAAAAGCAGAAGTTGATGAATAATTTGCAAAAAGAAAAATTTTAGGTAGTGTTTTCATATGAATGGTGGTAATAATTTCCAATGAAGATGACTGAATTTAAACAACCAACATGTGTGGCGTTTGTTTTATTGCTATTCCCTTTAAAGCCGAGTTTAGAATTACTAATGAGATCTTCAGTTAGTCTTACTACCAAGAAGTGCTCTGTTCCTTGACCATGAAAAAGCACTGTACAGACAAGATGCTAACTATTCACTTAATAATGAGACTATCTGATTTGGGGTTTGTTTGATGCTTTAGCTCTTGATCAGACTGGGATTATGAGTTGTTAGAAATACTACCCAAAGGCTGAAGTATGTAATAAATCCATGTAGCATATCACAAATGGTGTTAATCAGCATCACTTGGGTAAGGTGGCATTAACCAGATTTTAGATTTCTCCGTTTTTTTTTTTGGGGGGGGGGTTAAAAAGGTGTTGCTTAACCACTGAACCATATCACCAGCTCTTTTTAATTTTTATTTTGAGACATGTTCTCATGAAGTTGCTGAGGCTGGCTTTGAACTTTCAGTCCTCCTGACCCAACTTCTGGAATTACAGGTCTGCATCATTGCATCTGGCCAGACTTCTCCTTTTTAAAGTGATTCTTTCCCCCTTTCCATCATCTTTTCTTTGAAAGGGAGTCAGTAAATTCAGCTTGGACTCAAAAGAGAGGGGACTGGGTTTTATCTTCTAGAGGGCAGTGTATACACATATATTATTTTGAACTATTTTTAAAGGAAGTAATGCCTATGAGGAAAGAGGTTTTAAAAGGAAGATGTGATCATGTTCTATGGTAAAATTTATGTTGAAGATGTAGCAAAAATTTTCATCAATTTATAAGTTATATTTTATAAGTTTATATATAATTTATAAGTTATATTTTTGTTTATTTAAGTAACTTTTTTAGTTGTAGATGGACACAATATCTTTATTTTATTTATTTATTTTTATGCAGTGCTGAGGATCAAACCCAGTGCCTCAAGCATGAGAGGCAAGGACTGAAACACTGAGCTACAACCCCAACCCAAAATATATTTTATGAAGAGCAGTTTCAACTTAATTGTGAGGATTAGATATAGGTAAGTGAAGGGAAAAAATTAATAAATGAGGAGGAATTAAAGTTAGTATATATGCACACTTCTTTAGAGATACTTAGATAGGAGGAGTAAGGAAGCATAGCCCACAATTCATGTGACACTGGTAATCACATTCAGTTATTTCAGTGCATTGTGTTCCAGGAAAATTATTTTCTATTTTATTTCAGGATTTTAGTGATCTTAGTCATAGTGAAAACAACATTCAGTATCCTCAACTTGATTAAATTCATTAAATTTAAATCACAAAGATCATATATCAAAATCCAAAGTTCTCATGGATTTCATTAGTTTATAAACATGCATAGAACAGATTTCTGTGTGTAAGAAGCAGATCCAGAAGAAAAAGATGATGTTCTGTTTGGAATCAAATTAGAAATTATAAGTTTGCTATTAGCATAGGTCAAATCTAAGTAGATAATGTGACCCTGCTGAACAAAGCCCTGTGCTTATGTATGTCATATTGAATTAACTTTGTTTTTTACAATTACAGGAGGCCTGACATCTTTTTTTTCACAAGTAGTTTTTCCAGGAACCTATTTTTTTCCAGTAGCCACATTGGAGATATATATCTTGGTAACGACAATGGTAAGCTGAAATAAAAAATAAAAATGTTAGCAATTTCATTATCATTTCACTCCAAAGTAACAATACAAGATTCAATGTTACTGAGAGAAGGGAAGTGAGCAGATAAATTGACATCAATACACTGTGATGCCAGTTTCATATCTAGAGGAACATGTGAAGTCCTGAGTTAAAGTCCCATTATTTCATTCTTTATTTTAAATTTGAACTTTCTGAAATGTTTCTAAGAACTATAGACAAATTTTCATATTTCTTGTTCCCAATAGCCTGCATTACTCATGGGCTGGTTGAGAGGTACAATTGTGTGAGAATTTTTATCAAATATTATATATTCAATGAGTACAAAGTGATGCTTCTCAGAATCCTCTCTACATCTAAAGATGTTTAACTTGAAAAATGCAGCAATAGAAGCAATGTTTGTTTTCAAAGATAACATTCTAAAATGGTCTCTTACAATTTTATTGTCCATTTTATGGATCATAAATAAATATTGTAAATATTTATTAATTTACACACAGGTTCTTTGGTACTCTGAGTCACTATGTTTGTTTGTGCTTGGGCTTGCCATCCATTGGTCATTCTCTGCTGACCTTCTCCTCCATCCCTAAAAGAAAGAAAGAAAAGAATGTATGCACTTTATGACTCAAACTTCGATGGTGAGTAATGTTTATAGTTAGATTGATATTTTGGTTTATATCACTATACATTTTCTGCACAGTCACCTTCCAATATTTTATCACAATCAAAAAATATATATTTTATATGACATTTTTCTGCTCCAAAGAAATATAGAGAGTATATCTACCCTAAGTATCTAAAAGTTCTAAGACAATGTTTTATATATGCATACAGAAGGTATACCCAAAGATTTTTAATAACTGTTCTATTCTAAATATTATATAACATGTTAAGTCTTGAGATTAATTTTATAATACTAATGAGCTGCATGCTTCATTTCCATGTTCTTTTCTTTATCCTTATCAAATAAATTTGGGAGACATGTGGTTTTTGAGTAAGGGCCCAAAAGTGAATACAGTTTACACTAAATAGCATGGATCCAACAGGGAATTAACTTGATCCTACATCAGGAGGGAGAGAAAAATGAGCAGAAAAACACAGTAGCATTTCACTGGATGCCTTTGGGTTTGGTTTTACATCTGTTATCATACCTGAAATTGCTCCACAACCTGACAAGTTATTTAGTCATTATAAAGAGAAATTAAGAAATTCTGACCTGAACATAACACAGCTCAAATAACAAACTAGAGCAGCACTTCCTAAGCCACAAAGTTATGAGGTGTCTTTTGCCATCTGCCTGCTCTTACACAGTTCAGAGTGTCTCAGCTACCTTCTTTGCATTTCTAACTCTTACCATCTTTGGCAGATTGCTGGCAGTGGGAGAGTCTGCTTTCCTTAGTTTACTGTGTTCATTTACAATTCCCCTTTGGAGTTTCATCAGTGTGGTTGACAAAGCAGTTAATGCTTGATTCTGAAGGAAAATAAAAGTAGAATTATTTCTAGTACATTTAAAAATGACATATAATTGTGGATCAGGCTTTGATGCTTCAAGAGAACAAAGATAAATTAGAAAGCATTCAATTCAAGATATTATTGGTTGTTAGCATTTTCAATGAATCCGAGCCAAAGCTATGACTCTCCAATAGAAAATACTCTACTAAGGCTTCAAGGATGAGGATGTAATTCATAGCAGGATATATAACTCCTCCAGTGTCATAAATATTCATTTTATTTTAAGTGCTATCTTCATGTGATCTTTCTGAATACACGAATAATGACACATTATAATAGCCAAGGTAAATGTTATGAAGCATTAATATATTCCCATTCAATTAGTATGCAACCTAGAAGTATTAACAGTGGGGCTGTGACATTACTGCAAACATTAAGAGAAACATTTACCTGACCAATGTCTGGTATCTACAGAAAGCCTGGTTAGGCCCATTCCAAGTGCACCTGATGTTTCAAATTTTAGTAAAAGCATTCCAGGTATTAGTGAGTAAATTATATGGTATCACAGGAAAGGTAGATTTGCCATATTAAACAAATTTTCAAGGCAACTGTGAGGTAATGAAGCCATTGGATTAATGGTCCATTACTGGCTTGTTTTTTTAATTAATGGAAATGCAACTGAAAAGGATTAATTCAGATGCTGATGTTGGAGTTTATATATTTCTGTATGTGTGGGTGTGGAGAGTGCAGTAGGTTTGTGTAGACTGTTCAGATAAGAGAGAAGACCATTTTGATGACCTAAAATTATATGTTGTACTGTTTGTAGGGAAATACAAGATTTTTAAGTGTCAGTCTAAAGTGGAAGGACCACTGGTGAATTTTATCTGACAGGTTGTGTTATAGTTTGGATGTGAAGTGTCCCCCCCAGAGTCCTGTGTTAATGCAGAAATGTTCAGAGGTGAAATGATTAGATTGTGAGGCTTATAACCTGATCAGCCCATCCTACTATGAATGGACTGAATGTTAACTGTTGGCAGGTGGGGCATGACTAGAGGAAATCAGTCACTCCGTTGTGCTCTGGAAAGGTAAATCTTTTTTATGGCCCCTTTCTTCCCCCCCTTTTTTTTCCTACCTCTCTTTAATTCCTGACACTGCCGTGAAATGAGTAGCTTTTCTCTGTTGGGACCTTCTGCCATAATGTCCTGCTTTGCCTTGGGCACAGAATAATGGGCTGAACCCCTGACATTGTGAGCCAAAATAAACTTTATCTCGTCTAATTGTTCTTGTTGGGTATTTTGATCACAGCAAAGAAAGACTGACTAAAACACATTGAGATAAGTCATCTGATCCTACAACCATACTGACTATCCTCAAGAATCTGTAACTACTACCCTTACAGATGCAATTACATTTTATTGTCATTATCTAGGATATGTCCATCTCCTCACCCATCTTTGATGTTCCTAAGAACAAGGGACCATTAGTGATTGCCTTGTGCCAACAGATCCAGTAAAGCTACTGCCTCCTAAGGTAGAAGGGATACACATGTTAAACAGTAGGAATGATTAATCTGCATTTTAGAAAAGCATTTATGCAATATCCCTAGATATTTCTTACTGGTCCCTGCAACCTAATTAAAAGTGGTTACATTTAAAACATAAAAAAGTTAGTTCCTGAGAAATTACTAATTATTTTCTGCCTATTACAACATAGTGCCTTGTACATGAAAATTCTGCAGAAGAAATGAAATATATATTTTTAATGAGCACAAATGAAGTTTTTATTACATTACTAGAAGTATTTATTAAGAATAAAATGAAGTATCTATTCTTAAAAACTTTATATTGGATAGGCAATATGAAAGAAATTTATAATTACAATACCACAGATCTGATAGGAGGAATTCTATGAGATATAGAAGAAGGAGTGGTCAATTCTTTAGACTCAAGGTCTTCAATCATCTTTCCTAAAGATGATACTATATTTCTCAGGCATTTACTTAAAAAAAAAGTTTAAAATGTAGAAGAGGAGATAGACCAAAGAGGTGATAGGTGATTTGAAACGGCCATAAAATTGGTATTTTTCAGAAAGAAATTGAAGAGTCAGAAAAATATTTGAATGCAGTCTTAGGTAATAAATAATTTGCCTAAGGAAGACTAGCGACTCTCCTCTACCCAAAGACAAGCAAAGTTTTGAGATCAGGCAGAGGTGCCCAAATTTCCTTCCCTCTTTCTTTCTTTCTTTCTTTCTTTCTTTCTTTCTTTCTTTCTTTCTTTCTTTCTTTCTTTATTTCCTTCCTTCCTTCCATTTTTCCTTTTCCTTCCTTTTTTCTTTATTTCTTCCTCTCTTCCATTTCAGTTGTGGGGTTTGAGTCCAGTCCTTCACAAGAGCATACTAAACATGTGCTATACCCTGAGCAATAGGCCCAGCTCAAAGCATCAAAGCCTCTCTAACAATCAGAGGCTTTCTGGACTAGGGATGCATACCTACTAGGGGAAATACACAGCCACACACCCAGTCTTTAAAGAGAATGATTGACCTGGTTTCTTGGATTAGTTGATGAAAGTAGCACATTAGAAATGATAAGAATATTTAATTCCTGCATGTACTTATTTTTAAGATTATAGAAAAAAATTCACTTGACACCTTTTGTAATTTTTAAAAATTATGTGCAGGTGTGTAATTTTTTCACACAGTACATAAGAAAATTAGATAAAGCAATATATATGTAGAAGTGATGCTAATTTGAGATTATATAAATATATTGTCAATTATCTGTGGGGATTATATTGAAAGGGATTCATTAAAACAAATTAGAATAGTTTTGGAGATAGTGTATCTTTTATTGCTTGAAATACATAGGCCTGTACTGTCCAACAGAAATATAGTTCATAATCAATTGCAATAATCAACTTTTGTTAGTGATTTTTAAAAAGGAAAAAAATATAGGTGAAATTGCCATCAATATTAAACTTATTGTGAGATATTCGGTCTCCATTTTTTTTGCACTGATTTTGAAAGTTGCCATTTGTCTTAAATATATGCCCTTCTGGTGACATTCATTACTCAGACTTTCACCTGTCTTGGCATTCCCCGCTGGTCAGCACAGCCGTAGGGTGTGTCAACTACCATGAGCTACCAGTGAGCACTTTGTCTTGTGCCAGATCCTCTATCCCTATTCACTTTTGAAGATGGATCAAGGAGCTGGCAATCTCTCCTGCTGGCCTGAATTGTTCTGAAAATGTGAACAGCCTTACCCCTACCTCATTCTCAGTGTAGACAAGGATGGTCGCAGCACAGCTGTCAGGAACAACTGGGAGAACAGAACACAGGGAATAAAAATCTGCATTAAAGTGTTCAGTACATGAAGTTCAGGGTAAAATGGGAGTGGGGAGTAATGAGCTGCACTATTCCAGACTGATTAGTGGAGGAACAAGGGGGATTTGCCACATGCAGCAGCAGACTCATAGTGGATTGTGCTGCTGAAGCTCATCTCCAGTAGGGCCAAAAAGAACAAGGGAAGTACTGAACTTAAGCCGCTCAAGTACACCTATTAGTGCTAAGGACACCTATCCCACTCCCCCACCCCCAATCAATGACACACTGACCTAGGAAGCCACTGTCTTCTGCAATTTTTACAAAGAATCCACATTATTGTAATTATAGTAATCAACAAAGCAGAAAACCTTCAATAAAAATAGATTAATTATTAACTCTTGAAAGTATCTCTGACTGCTGAACCTAATTCAGTTACATTTCACACAACATAATGTCACTAACAGTTTAGGCATTTTGATATTGTTATATCAGAATAAGCAGAGGGACAGAGGTATTAAGTGACCTACTGATAGCTTCATTGCTAGTTAGTATATTTTGCAGGAAAGAATCTAAGTTTTCTTTTAACTTGAAAATTCACATCTCACTAATTATGTCTTGCTCGTGGAGTAGGTGCTTCCACAATGTTTTGAAACTATAAATTCTATGTCATTAAGATTTGACTAATAACACTATGAAAAAAGTTGACTTTGTTTCTTACAGTTTTGAGGAGGATCAGAGGAAGTGTTAATACAATAACATGAAAATGCTGAAGACAAAAAGGGAAAGCATGGAAAAATTAACTTATTTTGTAGAAAGCAGAGATATAATTTAATGTTGCAAGCAGGCATTTTCAAATGTCACAGGTACTTGATCCCTTATGGATCAGACCTAAACTTTAGTGCTGGCAGCATCATATGGGATAGCTAGAACATTTTAAATAACAATAAGTTGGGGAATTTTCATTGTTGTTGATGATGATGTACACAACTCACCTCTACCCATCTACATAGAGCAGAAAATCTTCCTGTCAAATAAGAATAAATGTCTAGACTCGCCGGTACTACTCTTGGGAGGTTTGAAGAAATATGTAATTTGAAAATATAAAATCATCATATACTACAAGTATTAGCATTAACCTTTCTTACCCTGATACTTGCTCCTTCAGCCAGAAGGGATTTAAAAAATTTCTAACTTGAAGTGTTTGTGTTTTACTATGAATTACAGAGCTAAAGAAGAGCAGATTTTCTGAAGCAGAGAGGTGTGTGCTTGAGTTAAGCTGCACATATTGCTCATTCTTCACATGAGCAATTCTCATTCTTCATATTATAAGCATGTGGGATATGCTCACTTGAAAAAAAGGCAATTATTTTCTCAATAGACATAATATCACTATATTTACTGACAAAATAACAAGCCTTAGGGAGTAAGAAGGAAAACAATGGGCTCTGGAAATTCATCCCAATAACAATAGGTTTTGAACTTTTACCTACCTACTATAGGTAAAAGTATTTTTCCTGAAAAATTATTTTTCTGATTTAGACTTTGAACCTGCACAGCTAGTTTCCTGATTGCCCAAGTCTCTAATGACTAAATCATACTAAACATTCTGCTATGATTAACTCTCATTAAAACCTACAAGAAACAGACCTCTCTAGTAACCAGTTGTCATTTTCTCCCCTGAAAATGGGCTATTCCACTGCTGCTTAATAAAGACAGCTTGCTGATCTGTTAAGGCTTGCTCCCCTTTAGGTTATTTTTGCTTACAAGAAGAACTCATTTTAGCTCCTGCTCACACCTCAAGACAACCGCTGTTCCCCATTCATTGGAAGATTCTGCCCTTGCCCTGGTGCCACATATTAGCAAGATGTCATCAGGGAAATATAATAACCATTATTTGTGAAGAACTGAAGAAAATAAAGATATGTGAATAGTAGTCTCAGTGTTACACCTCCATTTCCTCCCAACACTTGGGTTGTACACACATAAATATCCAGCATATTTGCTAAGAATTGCCTGTACATTATTGCTAACAAATTAATCATATTTTCCTCTATACATTTTTGTTCTTTTTGAAAATATATATGTAGGGATTCTAATTAGTAACACATTTTTGTCATGATTTCCTTATTAACGTGTTTAATTTTGCCATTGGATATTCTACTTTGGAATCATATTTATAGTCTTGATATAACTACTTGATCATGATATTTTTAACCTATATTTCAAATTGGTGAGTACATCATGATGCTTTGTGCTCCAGATGCTGCAAGTTGACCTATAGGACTTGTTTACTCAGCTGGATTTCAATCTTGCTTTGGTCCCATCCCTTGATTCTATGCCCCTACTTTTGTAAATGAAAAAGTTTACTTTGTACCTTTATATATTGGATACTTATAAATTGCTTTTATTTTTTACAGGAGCTCACAATGCAAGCTTGTCCTGAGTCTCAGAGGAGATTTTGGACTTGAACTTTTGGGCAATCTTGAAACTGTTGAGAATATAGGGATTCTTGGAAATGTACTAAATGTATTTTGCATTGTGAGATGGTCATGAGCTTTTAGGGGCAGAATATTATGGTTTGGATGTGCAGAGCTCATGTGAGTTAAAACGCAAGAAGGTTTAGAGGAGAAATGATTGGGCTGTGAGAGTCTTAATCCTATCAGTGAATTATTCCCCTGATGGATTTAACTGAGTGGTAACAGAAGGCAAGTAGGGTGTGGATGGAGGAGATGAAGAATGCATTTTTAAGGTATATATTTTGTATCTGGTGAGCAGAATCTTGCTCTTTCTGCTCATCATGTGAGCTGCTTGCCTCCATCACTCTTCCACCATGATGTTCAGCCTCACCTTGAGCCCTGAGGAATGGAGCTGGCTGTCTATGGACTGAGACCTCTAAAACAGTGAGGCCCAAAATGTACTTTTCCTCCTTTACAATTGTTCTGGTTGGGTCTTTAGTCACAGCAGTGAAAAAGCTGAGTAAAACAGTTAGAAAACATCTAAGTTTTTGGGTCCATTTTGAATTGAGTGTGTTTCACAAAGTAAGTTGTATTTTATGTTGATAATCATTAAAAATATTTTTCGTTTCAAGGTCATTGCTATAGTTTTTTTCACCAACATCAAACTATAAAGCAAGTATGACTTCTTATTTTTATTCTAATCATGTCTGTATTAATGCATAATCATGTGTCCGTATCAGTGAAAATTTCTGATACAGGAACAACCATAGTTTTCCATGTTTCTATTAAAGATAATTTTAATATAATTATTTACACAAGTCATAGAGATAAAAATTAATTGTTACTAATTTAAGAATAAGAAAATTTATCTAAATATTTCATTGCATAAATTAGCTTTTGAGTAGGTGCTACTTATATTTTCATTTTTAGTTTAAAAAAATTTATCAAAATAATTACCTCAGTGAAAGTTATCCATAGAATTTGAAATCATAAAAAAATAAAGTGCATTATTTGGCCACCAACAAGTTATAAAATGTTCATTTTGAAATAAATTACTACTTACCATTGATTCTCCTGTAAGGATGACTTATCTGTTTCATCTGTAAGAGGGAAGGTGAAGAGAGAGAGCTAAGACCAGTATAGATTACCCATTTTTTCTGTTTTGGCATAGTTGGATTATGTACATAAATCTTGACCAATGATGTCTAGAACATTTATCATATAAACAATCTCAAATTTCATAACTATATGTCTTAATAATTTTTTTGTGCTTTGATGACATGGCTACCTTCTACAAATTTCTATAAAATTTTTATTAACATACTTTGTTCTTTGAAACTGAGATGTTATTAAAATATATCTAATTTTGGCCAAGCAATACTTAGAAAATTCTTAACCAAATTATTCTCATCATAGAATAAGAGTTTTTAGAATTGCTTCTATTACAATATATCAAAGATTATGATTTTTGTGAACTTTAGGGACACAAAATTTTTATACAGATATCTAAAACATTCATTTGTAATCTGTTATATGTAATTATTTTGGAAATGATTTTATATTTCACCTTGGTAAATAGAAAGTATAGGTTTTAGTGTCTTTTGGAACATAATGGCAACAGAGCTTATGGCTATGTTTTTGTATGCCTATATTAACTAATTTTGCTGGTAGTTTGAGGTTCAAAATAATACTGAGCTACATGCTAAATTATGGTCATTAAAGTCTTTTAATCTACAGATGGCTTTGATTGTTACAAGCTTGTTGCCGTATCACACAAGTGAAATGGGATGGACTAATGATAAGAGATTCCCTGTACCTCTAATGGGCAATGATATTAACTATTGTTTTTTTTTTAAATAAATGGAGGAATATGAATTGGTTGCACATACACAGCCCTGGTAGGAATTTCTAGATGCACATGTTAGTATATAGATTGAACCATGTTTTCCACAATTCAATGATCTCTATTCATTTTCATGTTTATATTATATTCACCTTTATTAATTTGTATTAAGAAATGTATAACTCAAACTGCCTATTCCATAGACATGCCATTTAATTGGTGTTACTCCAAATTAGGGAATTATATGTGTAAGTGCATATATAGAATATCTGAATTGCAAGTTATTGATGTTTAATTTTCTTCAGTGAATGATCAGTTTCCATTTCTGTCTCTTATTGTCTTTGTCTCTCACTGTCTCTCTCTTTCATACACACCCACCCACCCACACACACACACACATACACACACACACACCTTAAGTTTTTTTTTTTTTAATCAGAAACTGAGACACTGATCAGATAGTCTGTGATTTGTAGATGAGATGCAACTCAGCAAAAAATCTGTGATGAAGTGAGTTAGGACAGGGGGGTCAAATAGTTAAAGAAGATTGTGGTTTCAAGGAAAGTCTAGCCGTACCTGAAAAAAGGGGTTAGTTCTTCAAATAGCATGGCTTTTTAAATAATTATTACAGAAATTATAAAAAATTTGTGGGGTATAATAGGATAATTTTCTACATGTATATACTATGTAATGAGAAAACAAATATGGTAGTTAACATTTCCATCTCAAGCATTTTTTCAAATATTTGATTAAAATGTAATAATTGCGAATATTTATGAGGTAGACTATACATATATAAAATGTATTCTTATGAAATCAGGATAATTTACATTTTCATCTCTTTAACTTTACATTGCATTTGGTACCTTCAAGCTCTTTTTAGTTATTTACAAATTATATAATAATGAATTTATTACTTTTACATTACCATGCTTTGGTACCTGTTATTCATCCATAGCTATCACCTTGTCAGCCTCTAGAAATTGCATCTCTATATTCATATTTGCTGTAGTTTGGATTTTTTAAATTTACAATAGAGTGTTCATTTCTATTGAAATTTCTGCAGCACATAATTTTAAAAAATTATTTGTTCTTTTAGATATACATGTCAGTAGAATGCATTTTGTCATATTATACATACATGGAGTATAAGTTCTCATTCTTGTGGTCGTACAGAATGTAGAGTTATACTGGTTGTATATTAATATATGGACATAAGAAAGTTATATCTGATTCATTCTACTGTCTTTTTTATTTCCATCACACACCTCCATTTATTCCCCTTTGTCTTATCCAGTGAAATTTATTCTCCCCACCTTTATTATTTGTAAGCATTCACATAACAGAGAGAACAATCATCCTTTTGTATTTGGGATTGGCTCATTGAACTTAGCATGATAGTCTCCAGTTTCATCCATTTACTGGCAAATACCATAATTTCATTCTTCTTTATGGCTGAGTAATATTCCATTGTATATATGTACCACATTTTCCTTATCCATTCATTTGCCTTTCTGACTAGAGTGAGATAAAATCAGTGTAATCTCAATTAGCATTTCTCTAATTTTTTAGAGATGTTGAAAATATTTTTGACCATTTGTATTTTTCTTCTGTGATGTGTATCTTCAGTTCCTTTGCCCATTTATTAATTGTGTTATAGATTCATCTATCTACTCATTTTTTGTACTGGGATTGAATCCAGGGTCACTTAACTAATAGACCTCATCTGCAACTCTATTTTATATTTTATTTAGAGGCAGGGTCTCCCCGAATTGCATAGGGCCTTGTTAATATGAATATTTATAAATGTACATGAACCGTTAAGGTCACAATTAAACAGAGAAAATACAAAAGGGGTGGAAAGATACCAATGAAAAGTTAAATAATTGTTTCCATTGGATTTCAAAAGATTCTCAGCTTCCCTTCTCAGCAATGTTTGATGGGGTCTTCTGAAGTGATTCTTATTCTACCCTCAAGGTGGGATCTCTGGAGAGAAAAATAATCACACAGGCAGAACACCTAAAGACAGGTTTAGGCTTACGTAGCCTTCAGGTTCTTCACTGAATGTCAACTTGCCTAAAGATTTTAAATCAGTGCACTTCCCAGGCCAGCAATTGCTGGTCTATACTAGAAGACTGCACCCCAGGGATCTCCCCTGGGTTGCACTTATGTGGTGCAGGAGCCAATTCTTAGTTCACTGTGTCACTTGCAGGCCCCATGTTTCCTGGCCTCAGGTTCAGTCTCCAAACTCAATCTCTACCACCCTCACTCTTTCAGATTCTCAGCCAGGTGCATCTCTCCCAGCAGATCTGGCAAGCACCTGGATTGGAGGGGACTGGGGAGAACCAGGTGGGTTTCCATGACCAGTAGTCCCTTGTTTCAACCTCTCTCCACATTTGATTTTCTCCTGTTCACTCTAGAACACTCTATATTATTCAGTGTGGTTTGCCAGGCTCATATTTCAGGCCAGACTCCTCAGGTTTGCCAGGAATCAGCTCCTCCATCTGCCCGCCCCTGGCCTGTGGCTGTGAAATGGTTCCTTCCTCTGTCCTGTGCATGCAGCCTAGAGAGGTGGGGCTTTTTTTCCTGCATAAGGATATTGTGCAACATGCCTTTCAGTTTAGTTGGGCAGTGTCTTTGATCTCTAAACTCTCTGTACTCAGTTATGCCTCAGGCCTCCTAAAAATGTGAGTTCCTTTAATTCCCTTATTTCTCCACTTTGCCTACAGAGGGACCACTCTTACTGTTCCCTCCAGCCATGACAGCAGCTGTGGCCCTGGGGATTTCTTCCTTATTTAATTATATCCATCCTCTTATGTCCCAGATCTGCTTTGAAAGACCAGTATTAAATTCCAGTAAAATCCCTCCCCCTTTCTTTTGCTCACCCACTTTGCTGAGAAGTCCCTTATCAGCTTTCTTGTTTTCATGCCATGGAGCAGTCAGGAAAGTGACCTTCTCTATTCTGCCATCTTGAAAACATCCCACAGCACAGTCTTTACTCTCTGCATTACTATCAACATTCTAGTCTTCTGAACTCTCCCCAGAAACACCTTAAATCTTATAATATTCTGAGCTTTTACTAGCCTGTTTCTCCAAAAGTTTCCAAATTTCTCCCCAAAATCAATATCGAAGACTTTTGAACCACATGGTAATGTATAGTCACATCAATCAATCCACTCCTGGTACCCATTGTCTATATTTGTTGTTGTCACAAAACACTTGAGAAAATCAACTTAAAGGAGGAAAGACTTATTTTGTCTCATGATTTTATAAGTTTTTTTTTTTTCTGTGGTCTCTTGGCCCTGTTACTTTTAGGCCTATGGCATTGTCTCATGATAAAAGTACATGACACAGGAAAGCTATGTAGCTCATGGTGGCCAGAAAGCAAAGAGAGAAAGAGAGAGTGGATATTGTCAAATGGAACCTTCAAAAGCATGCCTGCAGTGACTTACTTCCTCTAAATAGGTCCCAGCTCCTAAAGTTTCTGCCACCTTTCAGCAGTGCACTGATTTATGGATTCATTAATAAATTAACCCACTGATGAAGTCACAGGCTTCAGATCCAACACCTTCTAAAGGCTCCAACCCCGAAACGTGCTTTTAGGACCAATTCTTCCCACAGAAGCTTCTGCAGGACATTTCAAATTCAGACCATAACAATGGGCAGCATTCCTGTACCATACAATATATCTCTATCCCAGAAAGATGAAAATATGAAAATTCGACCAAAGTAGTTACAAATTTTCACACACACACACACACACACACACACACACACACACAGCTTTTTCAAGTTCTTCCTAGACTTTGGCCTTCTAATCATTATGCTTAAGAATGTCATTCCTTGCCACAAGTCAATGCTTATGTCAGTGGAACTAATTCTTAACCTTTTTTTAATATGACTTCTCATTCACCTTTAAAATGAAGGTTGTAGATTAAATCTAGTTGTAAATTTCTACGTTTTAAAGGCTAAAAATTATCTCTGAAATACTTACATTCTGAGTGAGAAAAATCTAGATTTCATCAGGTTACAAATTTCAAGCTTGGTATTTTAACATTTATTCCAACTTATTTAAAATAGAAGTGACCCATGTTCATGTTATTGTAAATTTAAGCCAGAAATAATTTTTATGACCTTCCTGGGTTCGGCAAACAAATTAAAATTATACGTCTTCTTGTAAAGATCACTTTGTGTGATGTCAGTCATATTGTTTACTTAAGTGATAATATCGTTGGCAAATTTCTTTTATTAGGAGAA